GGCCTAGAACCTTAGGTGAGTGACAACCCAGATATAAGGGATATTGCTGGTTGCCTTCCCCAGTGTAAATTCCCCTCATGCCCACCATCTGCCGTGTTGGAACCACAGAATCTAGGAAGTGAAACCCAAGGCCTGAGTGAAGAGGACTGATAGAAGCAATCAGGAAACCCTCCCAATCTCTAATCATAAGGATAGTTTTAGGGATGGACGGTAGCCCAGACCTAAAACAGCAACCACTGGACATTGTGCTGCTTACCAAATTGGTTTAGGAATCAAGCAAGTTGACCTAATCTGAGGAAGTTCAAGCTTTTTGTTCAATGAGTGGGCCAAGGGGAAATCTCTTGGGACAGGTGGTAAATGAAGGGTGGTGCAAGTCTTCCCCATACCAAATCCTGTGGATTGTATATCCACTATCCTCTTCGTATTCACACATGTGATTATTTCAGGCTGGCAGGATCTTTCTCCTGACTCAACCTGAATTTCTTCAACCCCACTCTGTAGACCTAGAATGATCTTCTCAAATGACAGGCTGAATGTGTCATTTTCCCACTCAAAAGTTTTTGATACCTGCTAGCATGGAACACAGTAAGCAGCCTAAGCTTTGAAGACAGACCATTTTGAAACCTAGCCCTGCCCCCAAACTGTGTGATTTGGGGCAAGTTTCTTTTCTTTTCTTTCTTTCTCTTTCTTTCTTTCCTTCTTTCTTACTTTCTTTTTTTCTTTTCTTTTTTTTTTTTTTTGGTTGGTTGTGGGTCTTGAACTCTGGGCTTGGGCACTGTCCCTGAGCTCTTCAGTTCAAGGTGAGTGTTCTACCACTAGAGCCACAGTACCACTTCCAGTTTTTATGGTGGTTCTTTTTGGAGACAAGAGTCTCACGGACTTTCCTACCGGGGCTGGCTTTGAACCATGATTCTCAGATCTCAGCCTCCTGAGTAGCTAGGATTACAGATATGAGCCACCAGTGCCCAGCTGGGGAAGTTTGCATATCACTTAAGTATAATGGTGAGGATTTCTTTGGTTACCAGTGACAGAAAATTAAACTCTCGAGACAAAAGGTAAAGTTTAATTCAAATGACCAACTAACTAAAGAACACCAGTATAGTCAGGTTTAGAGGATAGATTTAAAAAAAAAAAAACACACCTCACAAGTGACCTGTTTCCACTCTCTTCTCCCCTCACTGGGGGTAGGTGGGTCATCTATCCATCATAATTCCTCTCTGTAATTGAGCTTTGTTTTGTTAGGTTGGTGATTTAGAAATGCCCAGTAGCTTTTAAGCCCACATGATCAGTTTAAGTAGTAAAAAAAAAAAAAAAAAGGAGAAACTTGTGGTATGAATCCCACATTCAGAATTTGGAGAAATAAGTGTGGCTTGTCTCTTTTTAGATCAGGTACCACCTAGGTGCATCAAAAGGGCAGAGTGAAAGATGGTAGCTTCTAGTTAAACCACACATGGCAAAGATGAAACTGGCAGAAGTAGATTGTATTGTTTTGGATAGACAAATCAATAGCTATTCTCTACAAATTCTTACCTTGCTCTGCCATTTTGGAGATGAAGTAGTATGTCCTATATCCATGAGCATCAAGCACCCAGAGAACTTTGCGTACAGTACATAGCTACCATGCACAGAAGATGCTCCTCAAACTCCGTGCTTCTGAACAAGCAGAAGTCACATCTGTGATAAGAAATTGTACCTCTTTTTGTAATGAAATCAGAGTTGCCACACTTGTGGGTAGTGTGTGGGCCAGATCTCTCCTTCAGATCTCTTCCCTTAGCCCTGGCCTTTCACCTTTATATGAAACACAGGCTGCCAAACCTGGGCAGGTTCCTGTTCTCTGAAGGTTTTCACATGACTTTCAAAAGGTCCTGGACTGACTGCATTATATGATACCCAGGTTTAATACAAACTAGTGCCAGTATACCACTAGCCCTGCCCTCTGCCACCTCAGATGTAGCAGGAAGTTATGTATTCTTGCCCTTCCCAGGCCTTCTCCCCTCATCCTATTAGCCTCATAAGCCAGCGACACCACTTCTGCAAATCCTTCCTCGGCACACCCACGGCTGTGCACTGCCACCTCCTCTGCACTTCCAGAAGCCTGTTCTTTATTCTCTACCACAGAACTGATCACATTATATAGTAATTATCTGTTTGCTCATCAGTTCCTTTCCGCTCCCCCTCCAGTGGCTATGGCTTGCCAGCTCTTCCTTCACTGCCCAGGAATAAAGCCGGCTTCTAGCAGAACTCAATGCATGCTTGTTAAATGAAATACTGAATGAATCAATAACAAGGAGGAAGGAGGGAGTCGTGGAAAAAGAAAAGGAGAACACTCCATAGAAAAGTTCACTGTTCTTACACAGACCTGAGTCTGTTTCAATTCAAACAAAAGGGGGAGGGGGGGAAAGCAAGCAGAAGTCTATGAGATACTTAGAAACAAAGTTGTTTCCTGTCTCTCAAAATCATTGACATTTGAGAACTTTTTTCTTTGCCACTTGCAGTATTGTTTTCTTTGATTTTGGGAAAGTCAGGTTCCTAGAGGGGTCTGTTTGATTATTCCTGCTAAAGCTGGCAGGGGCCCATGAGAGAGGGGCATTGCAGATTACTCCCCCCCTTTCACCCCACATCCACACCAGGGGATCAGCTCCAGAGTTCTAAGTATTCTTGGCAGTCTGTTTGGCATTACTGTGGGCCAAAGGAATGAGGTCACTGTCGCCAATGAAGTCACCATTGCATGATTCATCCCACATCAGTTCCCCACTTGGAGTGGTTTGACATTTCCAGAGCTTTTCCAAGTGTCCAGAGTCTGAAGTCCCAAGGAGACAAACTCACATTTATACAATAGGAAATTGAAGCTCAGAGGTACTGTGGGACACGCTCAAGATAACACCACTCACTTGTGTCAGAGACACTTTCTTGGCTAAGTGCCCTCCCACAGCTCCTAAATCTCTCCCATAGACCCTTCTTTCAGAATACTAGCCCCAGCAAACGCTGCTGACTCAAGTGGGCCTGCTGATAAAGGAAGGAAAAGCTCCCCTCTCCTCTCTAAAAGAAAGCAGCAAAGCTGCATACTGGTGGCTCATCCCTGCACTACTAGCTACTCAGGAGGCTGAGATCTAAAAGATGGATGTTTGAAGCAGACAAACGTAAGAGACTTGTCTCCAATTAACCAGCAAAAGGCCAGAAGTAGAGCGGTGGCTCAAGTGGCAGAATGCCAGCCTTGAGTGAAAAAGCTAAGGGACAAGCACCTAGGCCCCAAGATCAAGCCCCAGTACCGCCACACACAAAAATGGCAAGCCTTAAGTGAACTGTACTGTTTTTCTTAGCCCATCGTTCAGTACATATGTAGTATTTTCCTGAGTTATTGAACATCATAAAGCAGCCAAAACCAACCCCTACACTTAAACAAAGTGGGTGGGGTCTGGAGAGATGCTTAATGTGAAGCCACAAGGAACTTCCAATCATCTTCAAAGTCTTCCCCGGGGGAATGGAAATGAGATTCAGGTTTGAGAATTGAGGCCTAGGATGGGGATGAGTAAATGAAGACCTAGCATGGGCATTTCTTCCAATGTGCTTCAAGTCGTTGAACACCACCAGTAGCTGGAAACCTTTTCCTCACCTAGAACCTAAGGGAGGGTCCTACTGACCTCTACACCTGCTGTCTTTCCACACAGCATTTTCTGCTGGCGTGAATCGATGAGAGGAAACGATTTCCCTCCGGTCAGCAAGTTAGAGATGGGGTGCGGTGCCTGTGTGGAGGGCGTCCTCGCCTCAATGCCCGAGGTTCAATGCAGAGTTCTTGGCCCTAGCCAGACCGTGATGTTTCCAATCTTTGCCAGACAGCGGGGATCAGGGTTGCTGCCTGGATCGCAGGCCAAATCTTAGAGCTCTGGTGTTCTAACACTTCTCAGGGATCACGACCGACTACTTTGGACACTTGGGACCAAAAGGGGGCCTCGGAGAATGTCGTCTCCAGGGGGAGCACAGGTACATCGTCCAGCCCCAAGCCCACAGGGATCATTTTTTTGTGACTGCTCAGGGGGGTGCTTCAGTGGTTCAACACGATGTGGTCTCCCTTAGTTTTTCAGTTTCCCAGGAAAACGATCGCCAGGCGTGGGGTGGCGATGCGCGATCGCGCAGGACCAGGAGTCCCCGCTTGGCAGCTCGGAGGCCCGCCCCACTCCCACGCCGCGCCGCGCTCCTCTCCAGTTGTGGCTGCTGTTGTTTTCTGAACCTTGGCCTTGCTTTCTTCCTGATTTTCCAGTTCCGTTGTGCACTTAGCAGCTCCCAGGATGGCCCTGGCCTTCCGGGTGGAGTTTAGATGTACGTGAATAAATTCGCCTGGCTATTGCGTCATCGCTGAAGTCGTCTTGGTCCACTCCCCCCGCCCCCCCTCCGCCCCGCGCGAGGCCTCCGCATCTTCTCCCAGCATCGGGGCCTGTGGACGCTTCCGGGCGCTGCGGGCACTTTCGCGACGAGCCCTCGGCTCCCGGCGAGCGTTCCCCGCCGACCCCCTCCCCCAGGCCCCTCCCTCCTCCGCGCGCCCCCCCCCCGCCCCCCGCGCTGCGTGCGCTCCTCTGCCCGCCCCTCCGCGCCCGCCTCGCGGGGACTCGAGCTGGGCTGAGCCGCAGGGCTCCGCGGCTGCAGCGGGGCGGGGTCGCGGGGACCGGCGGGCGCGCGGGCGCGGGAGCCGGGTAGGCGGCCCGCACTCGGGGGAGGCGCCGGGGCCCGCCCTCCTCCGGGGCCGAGCCGGGCGGGGGCCCGGGCCAGCGCGGGGCGGGGAGAGCCGCCTGGCCCCTCCCCTCCGCTGCCCTCCCCGAAGTTGCCGTCTCCCCCCCGGGGCCCGACAGTCTTATGATCCAGCGGATCCTCCAGGGGAGGCCGGGCCGGGGAGAGGGCGCGGGCGCCGGGTGGCGGGGGCTGCGGGCGGGCGCGGGGACCGGGGCCAGGGCGGGGATCTGGGCAGCGACCGAGGCGGCAGCCGCGCCCCGGGCCCGCCGCCCCCTCCCCTCCCGCGAGGGGCGTCGCTGCATGGGGCCGGGGGGGCGGCCCTGCTGCGCCGAGCGGCGACGGCGGCGGAGCCCCCAAGCGGGCTGGGGCTGAGCCCGGGGCCGGGGCGGGGGCTCCGGGGAGACCATGCCCGGAGGCCGGCCGGCCGCAGCATGGCTCACGGGCCCGGCGCTCTGATGCTCAAGTGCGTGGTGGTCGGCGACGGGGCGGTGGGCAAGACGTGCCTGCTCATGAGCTATGCCAACGACGCCTTCCCCGAGGAGTACGTGCCCACCGTCTTCGACCACTACGCAGGTAAGGCTCGGAATGCTGACTAAGGGGCTGCTCCCCGGGCCGGGAACTTTGGAGCAACTTTGGTGGAGCCCCCCTCGCCGCCTCCCTGGAGCGCGCTCCCAACCACTCCCCCGCTGCGCCCTCCGCCTGGCAGCCCTGCCTCGAAGCGCTGTCCCGGACCTCCCCTGGCCGCGGGCCCCTGCTCCTCCGGGACACCCCAGGTCCCCCCAGCCCCGCGCCCCTGACCTTCCCGCAGCCTCCTCCCCTCTTGCCCCAAGACACAGGGGCTGGGGAGGGGGGGGGAGAGAGAGATTTCAGGGTACCAGGCCAGACGTAGCTCTGGAGACTGGCGAGGAGAAAGGGGTGGACAGCTTGGGGGTTGGGGGGAGCTACATCACACCTCGATTTCAGACCACTTTCCAGTGAGGTGGACACAAAGAAAAAGGGGGTGACATTTCCGGAGAGTGCCCACATGACTCCAGCAGGGTGGGGGAGAGGAGGGTTTGGGTAGGAGTGAAACCGTCCCGGAGCCCCGGTCACTGTGAGCCTCTCTCCCCGCCCCCACTTCTGTCCTTGCAGTCAGCGTCACCGTTGGGGGCAAGCAGTACCTCCTGGGACTTTACGACACCGCCGGACAGGTGAGTGCCCGGGCCTCTGGCCGACTCCTCCTCCCTTTCCTCAATTCTGTGTGGCTCTGGAGGGTCTGGGGAAATTGAGGTGTCTAAGTGGGAGGATCTGTCTTCCAGAAGAGCCCTCTGGATTAGGTCTTTTTCTCAAGTCAGCAAATTATGAAAACAAAACAAATGCAGCCCAGCAATGTGAACCTCTGATAAGTGAAAGTTTGTGCCTGTGTGGGTCCTTCTGTGTGGTCCCAACTCCTGTTGCAAAGTGGCAGTAGCCAATGGTGAAGCGTCCTTATTTTTAGTTGCAGATGACCAGGTCTCCCCCTCACAGCCTCAGTCTGGTCTCTCATTGGTGAGTGGTCTGCCTGCCCGAGGAGCCTGATTGGTAGGAAATGGCATCATCTAACATGATGGGAAGGCATTTGGTCCTGGTTATGTTTATTACAACATCATTGCACTCTGGGACTCCAGTCCCTGAAAACGTAATTTGTGGTGTTACCAGAGGACTGCAGGGAAAAAGAAAAGAAATAACAACCATTCAGCCACTCCCTAGAGTGGGATAGGAAAAGGCTATGGGTTCAGGGTGAATCCTCCAGGAAGAGCTTTTTATCTCCCCCCACCCCCTCCAGGAAGGCAGGTGACTTTGGGTTTTCTTTGGAGAGGTTATTAAATTGAAAGAAAATGAACACTTCCCACTGCAGCTTCTGACTAATGTTTACAAATCAGAAGTGGCCAGGTTGTACTTCTCCTGTAGGACTAAGGGCTTTTTTTTTTTTTTTTTTCTTTCTCCTTGTCCTGGTTCATCCCTCTTTCTAGACCCACTTTTTACTCTGGAGCTCAAATTTCATGTGATGAAGTCTTACAGAATCCAGCTCTATGATTTGACCTGAAAGAATGACATTTCTGTGTGCCATGCTGACTTGTGTCCCTGAAGACATGTTAGCAGTTGGAGGGCTTTGAGAGTCACTTTGGGGGAAGTCCAGTTAATTGAGTTTCCCATCTGTAGAGAGGGGTAACATCCCTCTCCTCACACAAACATGCACACACAAACACACAGACTGTGTATGCTAGATTCTCAGCACTGAGCATAGCACATACTTGGTACTCAGTAAAGGGAGTGCTACTCTTTGTAGCATGTCTAGATTTGGCTTTCAGAATTGTGGTTCTCAGATTGTGTTAGATTCTAAAAATGGTTTGTTTCAGGGGGTGGGGTATCTTGATGTGGCATTGGCTTCTGAACTGTTAAGTTAGAGGAACATCTGAGAATGGACATCTCTGGCAGTTCACGATGCCAGAGACCACCCACCCCTATCACCAAGCTGGCTCGAGTACATGTGGTTAGCTCTCAGCTTTCCATGGCCAGTTTTGGCAAATCAGAACAACTTTTAAGTAGTAAGTACACTTGATAAATAAGAGGTTGACATTATTGGTTATTATTGGTTAAAAAGAGGATGTTTTTTGGGGCATTCACCCAAATGATCACAAACAAGACTATACTAAAGCTACCAGCACAACTATGTTTCTTGCAGCCTTCTTTACCATAGCTAAGGTATGGAACCAACCCAGATGCCCCTCAGTAGATGAATGGATCAAGAAAATGTGGTGTATATGTATACAATGGAATTCTATGCCTCCATCAGAAAGAATGACACTACCCCATTTGTTAGGAAATGGAAAGACTTGAAAAAAATTATATTAAGTAAGCCAGGCCCAAAGAAACATAGGTCCTATGGTTTCCCTTATTTGCAATAACTAGTATATGGCTGGGACAAGCAGAAAAGGTCAAAAGCTATGTACATATGTCCAGATAAGATGATGTTAAGTGAAATGAACCCCAAGATAGGGACACAAGTGATGTTTGCTTTCTTGCTTTCTTGCTTTCTTCTAATGTGTTTATAATGTACCATGTGATTTTTTTTTGTTTGTTTCTTTGTATGTTCCTCCCTCACAATATAACCCCTGTTCTCACTGTATTTGATGTCGGTACCCTGCATCTTGTATATACACTTCTCTAATTTGGGGAGGGGAAGGGAAAAAAACAAAATGCTTAAATAGGGTTACAGGTTGACGCATTGTAACAATGAAATATATAAGACACTATGTTAAAAAATGAACTTTACAATTTAGGCCTGTGGGAGGGGGTTAGTTGTAGAGGTGGGAGGGAAGAGATGGTAGGGGAAAACCAAAGGAGGAGGCAAGAATGCTTGATAGGAAATATACTCATTACCTTGCTCATGTAACTGTAACCCCCTATACAGTATTTTTATAATAAAAAACCATTTTTTAAAGTCTCTAATTTGAACTTCTCTTACTGCCTCTTTTTTCTGTATTTACTTATCCAAATAATGTTTTTGACCAAGCACCCTATTCAGCTGGACATGTGTGTGTCAGAGCTGTTCTATGCAACTCAGATCCAACTATTTCCCAAGCCCCATCTGCATATTTGGAGTGGGACAACCACATGCGAATACTACTTTATTTACTCCATAAAACAGCCTTGTAAAATGATAGGTAGCTTGCATTTTTGTAGACAAGGAAATGGGCTCAGAGAAGCTAGGTTGCTTGCCTTTGGTCACACAGCTGCTAAGAAGTGCTGCTGGGTTTACAATCTGGATCTAAGTCTGCTTTAGTCATGGGAGGTGCTGGGATGCCCTCTAAATTGGTGGCATTATTTGTATGCCCTGAGATGTAGAACCTGGAATCTTCACAGCCATTCTGAGATACTTCAATCTTAAAGACTACCTAAAGTTGAGCCCATTCACAGAGCCATCATCACTTTTCCAGTTAGCATAAGAAATACAACAAACAGGATCGATAGAAGACTCCAATATTACTGTTTTTTACCCAATGATGGGACAGCTACTCTCTTTGCCCTAATTAAGTTCCCTTCATGTTTCTCCCAGTTGCTATGACTTTTGGTTTTTGATCAGCTAGTAATAATTCATCTCTTATTACTAATAAGCAAAATTACCCATAATGAGATGGAATGACAAATGTCCTTTGTGCACATAGTACTATGCTAAGCATTTGGGTAGTACAAAAGAATAAATTTAAGAAATAGGGATCTGCCACAGCTGATGTCAGCTTAGGCAACAGTGTTACGCCTATTCATATGTCTTGGATAGATTTCTGTATTATATTTGAGAACTTAAGAACCCCTGTGGCCAGGTGCCGATAGCTCACGCCTGTAATCCTAGCTACTCAGGAAGCTGAAATCTGAGGATCATGGTTCGAAGCCTGCCAGGGCAGAAAAGTCTGTGAGACTCCTATCTCCAATAAACTACACAGAAAAAGCCAGAAGTGGTGCTGTGGCTCAAGTGGTAGAGTGCTGGCCTTAAGTACGAAGAGGCTCAGGGCCTGGGCCCAAGCCCTGAGTTAAAGCCCCAGGACTGACAAAAACAAACAAACAAACAAAAATCAAACAAAAACCACTATGAATTGATAACAGATTCCTTGTATAGTAACAACAATGGTAAATAATACATAAACACATGTATGCACATATGTATATATGTACTCTATCCATGTACCTACCTACCTACCATCTAATCTGTCAGTCTCTAGATAGATGGGTAGCAGAGAAAAGCCACACATGGGTTTTATTTTGTTTTTTAATTGTAAAGGTGATGTACAGAGGGGTTTCAGTTAGAAAAGTCAGGTAATGAGTACGTTTCTTTTTGAACAGTGTCACCTCTTCCCTCATTTTCTTCTAGTTTTTTTCCCTTCCTCCCCTTCCCCACAAATTGTATAGTTCGTTTTAAGTTGCATAGTTCATTTTCAACATAGTATCTAGTGAGTATCACTGCTGCATTAATTCACCCTCTGTCCTCCCTTTTCTCACACATGAGTTTTAGAACCGAATCTCCATTTTATTGTACTAATTGTGTGGTTCTAACTGTTCTTTACCTTCTTTGTAATAATAATGTGGTTTGGGGGGATTTGTGCTACAGAGTTGCTGTCTTAAATTCTTCAGTCTATGGAAAAGCAGCTGATACTGTTTGATGCATGTGGTAGATATGTAAGGGGTATTACTAGAAATTATACTCCACTGTGAGGAATTGGGGGGCTGTCACGGGTGGAAGAGGACAGTGTATTATGCCTGGAGGTAGTTGAACCCACTGGAAGACCATACTCTTGAATGTTTTCAGCAGAAGTGTGGATGAAATCGGCATTTAGATTCTACAATTCATTAATGCCAGAGAAATAGCTAAGAGTTTTGTGTAGGACTTGAGAAGTAAAGGAGCATCTATAGGGGCTTAGTTTAGGTAAGAGGAAGAGCAGAAAGCTCTGAGCACTGGAAAATGCTTGCTTCTCTCCATAATGTTTACCCGTACACATGGATACCTGCTGTACTTATTAAATAACATAACAGCATTCCTCAGGTTGGCCTCCCTAGTGCATGGCCTTTTTGATGACCCTATCCAGCCACAATCATTACTTGTCCAATTTATATATTAGGAATCAAAAGACATTAAGGGAATATTGCAGGTGACCTTTTGCCTCCTAGAGCAAGCTGACCTCTGCTGCTATTAGAACAGAGGGGAGAGAGAGGAGGAGGGAGAGGGGGAAGAGTGAGAGTACTAGAGCTTGTTGGAACTCAGTTCTTGTCATGTGCTAAGCTTTGGAACATCCTTCAATGTCTCAGCTCATCTAATAAGCATTGCTGTCAGAGGGAATGCTCTCCTCTCTTGGATGAGCTTTTGGGTGGTCCAGGAGCAGTGTGACAGTTTGGAGTGGGAGTTGTAGAAGCACCTTCCTTCTTACTGGAAGCCTTCTGGGGAGGTCTGGCTTCCTTCCTAGGCCTTAGTGAAGCTTCTCTTTTGCATGGTAGCTTTTACAACAGCTCCATTGCTGTCTGCTCAGGCCAGGTTTGGAGAGGTAGATTGTCTGCCTACTCTGCACTGTTTGGGGCAAAGAGAGGTGGGACAAACTCTCTGCCCAGACAAGCCGGCAGGGAGCTGCCTGGCAAGCTGCTCTCTAGCTGCAGGCTCCAGGCTGATCTCTTAATCTTTGGC